ACCCACTGGGTTTCGAACCCAGGACCTTCCGGTTACAAGGCAAGCTCGTATACCATTCAGCCACTGGAACCCGATTCAATGGCTCGTGAATTCTAACTTCTACTAATTCGTGATTTAGCGCGACCCCAACCATTGTCGTTGGTGGGACATCCATCCACACACGTGACATCTAATTGGACCTCACTGGTCACGACTTCTCACTAGAACTCAGGAAACTCCAACCTGTAGCAAGTCACTAGCGAGCATCAGATTAACTTTCTATAGTTTGGTTTGTAAGGATTAGTTATGTTTTACGAGTTGATCACGGATTGATATCAGTTAGAGAACCATTGAAAACCAGGGAGTACTGGACAGCTGCTGTTTCATCCTAGTTTGGGAATCATCGGCAGTACGCACCCACTGGGTTTCGAACCCAGGACCTTCCGGTTACAAGGCAAGCTCGTATACCATTCAGCCACTGGAACCCGATTCAATGGCTCGTGAATTCTAACTTCTACTAATTCGTGATTTAGCGCGACCCCAACCATTGTCGTTGGTGGGACATCCATCCACACACGTGACATCTAATTGGACCTCACTGGTCACGACTTCTCACTAGAACTCAGGAAACTCCAACCTGTAGCAAGTCACTAGCGAGCATCAGATTAACTTTCTATAGTTTGGTTTGTAAGGATTAGTTATGTTTTACGAGTTGATCACGGATTGATATCAGTTAGAGAACCATTGAAAACCAGGGAGTACTGGACAGCTGCTGTTTCATCCTAGTTTGGGAATCATCGGCAGTACGCACCCACTGGGTTTCGAACCCAGGACCTTCCGGTTACAAGGCAAGCTCGTATACCATTCAGCCACTGGAACCCGATTCAATGGCTCGTGAATTCTAACTTCTACTAATTCGTGATTTAGCGCGACCCCAACCATTGTCGTTGGTGGGACATCCATCCACACACGTGACATCTAATTGGACCTCACTGGTCACGACTTCTCACTAGAACTCAGGAAACTCCAACCTGTAGCAAGTCACTAGCGATCATCAGATTAACTTTCTATAGTTTGGTTTGTAAGGATTAGTTATGTTTTACGAGTTGATCACGGATTGATATCAGTTAGAGAACCATTGAAAACCAGGGAGTACTGGACAGCTGCTGTTTCATCCTAGTTTGGGAATCATCGGCAGTACGCACCCACTGGGTTTCGAACCCAGGACCTTCCGGTTACAAGGCAAGCTCGTATACCATTCAGCCACTGGAACCCGATTCAATGGCTCGTGAATTCTAACTTCTACTAATTCGTGATTTAGCGCGACCCCAACCATTGTCGTTGGTGGGACATCCATCCACACACGTGACATCTAATTGGACCTCACTGGTCACGACTTCTCACTAGAACTCAGGAAACTCCAACCTGTAGCAAGTCACTAGCGAGCATCAGATTAACTTTCTATAGTTTATTTATTTTATTTATTTATAACTTATTTATTTTATTTTTTATTTATTTATCTCTGATTTTTAAAAATCTTATATAATTTATGAGGTAATTAGATGCAATATACTGTAATGCATGCTGAAAATTCCATACCTGTACCACAAATACTGTTTGGAATAAAGCTGTTATTATTATTATTATTAAATTATTTAAAGCAGTTTACTCTATGAGCAGTCAATTAAAAGAAAGTGTTTTCTAAATCTGACTTCGTACACTTCCTCGGTTACCTTTCAGAATACTGTATCTATCTCCAAAATACTGTCATTAAGTCAAAAGATCTTTGAATAGCTTTTGAGACTTATCGTTAACATTTGCATTGAGGAAAATTGTCACTTACCTGGTGGACTAGCTTCATTATCTGTTTTTAAATTGTGAACTAATCCTAATAGGTATATAACTGAGACTATAGATAAATATTTATAGGAATGAAACACAAAATAATCTAGCAAAGAATATTCTTTTCGATAAATTCCTCTTCTGGCTCTACAATTATATGTTTATATACACAAAATATTCAAGATTGGTAGTTATTAGTGTTTTTTAAATAATATCGATTTGTAAAGTATGATCAATGCAATTACAGTTCACTAAAGATGCTTAAATAATAATAATAATAATAATAAAGATATAATAGCATATTGAATATCAACTAAAATTAGGGAATTTCCACAAAAATTGATGATCATTCAAACCTAGATGGCCAAGGTAAGGACAGTGTCGCACAAATTAGGCTTCTTAATGTGGATCTCAACAGCCTCAGCAGTATTTAGTAATCGAGCTCTTAAGACGAAGGTAAGATTTGTTGGTATCCGGTAAATAACTCTAAAAGCCTGGTTAACATCAATCTTATGTTCCGTATCCACAAGATGAGACAGAATAGCGCTGCGAATGGATTTTGTTTATCGTTTGCTTAACCACGCAGGGCGATGTTCGGAAATTCGACGAGAAACACGCCTAATTGTGCGGCCTATGTAACTGGCTTCACAGGAGCAGTTAAATTGGTAGATGCACATGGATGAGGCGAAATTAGGCAGCTTTTCTTTTACTCCTGAACGCAGAAGAGCAGTGGTCTTAAAGATACAACGTAATTCAGCAGCAGGGAATGCTCTTTTTACCGCATATCTAAGACGCTGTGTTAATATTTCGCTAGTGTTGTCCCCAGGGAACTGAATCTGTAAAAATAAGGCCTTTTTTGGAACTGTTGGTAACTTCGGTAATTGTGGAGCCAGAAGAAGAATTTATCGAAAAGAATATTCTTTGCTCGATTATTTTGTGTTTTATAGATGTCTAAATGAATATTTTTGTTATAGGAATGATCCTGAATTACAAACTATTTAATCGATACTCCCATCAAGTTAGCTGGATTTCCAAACGTCTGTCTGTTTTTTTCACATAGTTTCAGACGATGCTAATTTTATTGCGTGTTAAAATAAAAAAATAGATAACATTTCGTAGATGACTGCTTATGACCGCAAAGTACTAATACAGTTTTCTTTAAAAATCATAGTTACATTGTAAACAGTCTTTTCTTGCTTTTGACAGATGCATTTCCGTACTCTGATGAGTATCGTGTAGATGAATCAGGTAAGTAATATTATACAGGCAAGGAGTAACGGATCCTACTTTTTCTAAGACTTATTGCAAGCAGGTTTGATTTTTTCTCCCCAGACAAGCATAGATCTACTTCAGTCGGATAAGAAAGTTGAATTTGACGATTACACTTGACAGAAACTAAATTTACAACAGAAAACGAATTAGAGAGTATAATATCCCAAAGTGGAAAATGAAAACTCTTAGAAAATTTAAATCAGGTATCATGTTTTGAATATCAACTCCAGAAATTTTTGATCTTCATTCAGTGTCCCGAGTGATGGTTTTGGATTTCAACCAATAGTAAATTTAAAGGCGATTAAAATCAACTAAAATAAAATGAAATGTGATTTTGAGATAGCAGCAAACGTAGGTATGTGTTTAACCGCCCAGAAGTTACTCCATTTGTGTGAGAACTTATCACAGTAATTATATGTTAAATAGTATAGCACATTTTGAACCAAAGCCCACTAGCTGAAAGTCAGCTACCTAAGCCAACATACCATAGTCAAGTATTCCAACATTTCATATTTGGTTGATTGAACTTTAAATTTCTGCGATGCCTGCTTACTCCCTAATTATTTTGAAATTTATGTAGCTGCTTGATCTCGCTTGCATACAGACTTTTAGTAGGAACGGACAGAATACTGAGTGAAGTAGTCATTTGTCTATTTTAACAAAAGGAAAGTTGGATATTATAAATTAATCAAAATCCCAAGGATATTTGTGCATAGCATTCATGATAATTAGTACGTTTGTGTCAGTGATAAACTAGTGAATCATGTCGAAAATGAGACCTAACCAGTGGAAACTTTGGAGAAAACATGATCGGATATTGTATGAGTAGGTAAACAAAACAAAATAGGATTCAAAGATTAAGAAGGGTGACTTCTTATAATGAGCAAAAACTGAGAAGAAAAATAATGCCTGAAACGAAGACCAAGGCAAGAGAAGTGGTTGTACCAGGTTATTTCCTGTGAGTTTAATGGATTCCCCTGTGTAGATATCTAATGCTTTAGGAATACCAAGAATAATACCAACCATTTTATGGGACTGCCCCTTACTTTATATTTGACCTCGAATGAGACGTCTTTTATGACTGAGTTACTAGTTCTGAGAATATGTTTAGTGATCTTCCTTTTAACCAATCTACTATTACCTCTATGCTGCTATATAGGATAATGTCTCTTCACCCTTTTCGACAAGGCTCACATCGAACGACATAAATAAATTACCCCACCAAAACAAGCGATTTGGAAAATACGCATAAAATTGACTGAATTCCAGCGTTTGCTCTTAGAAGTACTCAGGAACACTGAGTAGAATCAGAATACTATTATCATAGCGCAAAAAACGTTCACGTAAGAGAGGCCGATGTCAATGAGTGATTCACCTTTGGAGTTGACATTTGTATACATTATCTTTTCAGCATCTGGATAGGGATCATTCTATCTGGTTTAGGATCTGCGTTTTCGCCTACAAAGCGTTAAGAATACAGAGTTTTCAAGGCTATGTGAAGCCACTTACCAAAAATCTGATTCTTCGCCAAAATACTTTTTTCCCTTTTGAAACGATTAACAGTCATCACGATTCATTCAACAGTAATAATAAGGCAGTATTTGTAAATACACTCATTATGGTTATAGTCATCTGTAAATGAATAATAATGAGCCTATTTTGAAATTATAACTTAATGGTAATTCATAATCACTGGGAAATTCACCCTTAAAACATATGGTACTGAATTCAGACTGACTTTTTATGAAAATAATTTAATCATTACTAGAGTGTAACCTCTATTTAAAATTGTGGTAACTGAATGAACATGCTATGAAGAACATCTGGGCAATAATTCTCTCTTATTTCCATGTTATTTAAACTCAGGAACAAACTATTTAAAAAGAAATTTGGGGATACACGTGTATAGAAACTTCATACATGCAATCAATGCAGTTTTAACTTAAATACACTCAGGTTGTGTAAACACCATGAATGAATACTGGTATGACAGTGAAACAACATAGATTTAAAATGCAAAATAACAAAGTGAATGATTTCTTTTTGTAAAAATAATCCTGAAGATAAACGTTGTTATTTTAAGCTGCACTGAAACTTAAGTAATTAAATTTATGAATTCTCCTCTAATTTTATCGTCGGTTAGAAATTGACCTTTTAGTTTTTGTGTCACAGTTACTGTAGTCGACTTATGTACACCTCGCATTGACATGCACAAATGTTTGGCTTGAATGATTACACCAACTCCAATTGGGTTCATTAATTCAACTATAGCGTCAGCTATTTCATTTGTTAGTCTTTCCTGGATTTGTAGACGTCGTGAATATAATTCCACAATGCGAGCTAATTTGCTTATTCCAATGACATGCTTGTTAGGCAAATAGGCGATAGATACATGACCAGAGAAAGGGAGTAAATGATGCTCACATATGGAGAAAAAATCAATATTCTTTACAATAACCATCTGGTCATGACCTTCATCAAATAATGCATTGTTTACAATTCGTTGCAAATCATCTTGATAGCCTTTAGTAAAATAAAGCATTGCTGATGATGCTCTAGCTGGCGTTTCTATCAGTCCTGGTCGATTCGGATTTTCACCAATACAAATAAGAATTTGTTTATACAATTCTTTAAGCTTATTAAAGTTAAACTCTTCATTTTTATTGATTTTATCATCTACTTCATGATTTCTCATGTTTATAGTTCTTGTTGACATCTCACCAGGTATTTTATTCAGTTTACTTAAAGACTGCCTCTCACTGTTGCGTACTTCACTCTGGAGTTTGGTTAATACTTCCACTTTTCTAGTGAGATCTGGAGTAGGAAGATCACTGAAGTTAGTCAGTTCTGCTGTTGTGTTATGTGATTGATGATTTTTTTCAAAATTATTTCTTGATAGAGATGCCTCTCCATTCTTCATGAAAGAGATTTCATCTGTTGAACCAATGTGTGAAAACAGTGAATTTTCATATGACATTGATAGAAAGTGAGCTGATTGTTTGGGCTTGAAGTATTTATTGTTCGGAGGCATACTATGTCCTGTAAAAGGTATCTTTGCAAAGCAATTATTTGATGCACTTTCTCTCTTGTTCTTTTTTCTGTCCTTTTATCGAATTATTTTCAATATGTTCAGTTTTAGTTTACACGAATTTGGTATCATTTTGATTATATGTATGCGTGGTAAATGTAAACGTGCACACACATACGTTTCAAAGGTTGGATAATCATTATTAATAATCATTCATATTACTCGTGTATTGGTGATCACAATTTACAGTGCATTCAACAACATTCAGTTTATTCAATGGAATACTCAATACGAAGTTCACTTAGCAGTAAATTAAAGAAATCGAAAATTTCGGTTATCAGTATTAAAAAGGATATTACAATGCTGAAGAAGGATGATATGTTTCAAAACTAGTTAGTAAAAATCCCCATGGTAAAATATAAGCCGAGTCATATTGTGGTGAGAGCTGTCTGCAAGTCAACATTGTGAACAACAATTTACGTCGATATTTACGTCCCGAATCGGGGTAATGAGAAAAAATAATAACAAAGCTTAACCGTGAGGAACCCACAAGCCAATCACAGCAGACCTAATGTGTGCAAATACGACTCACAAATATATGGCTTAGCTGTCTAAGAAACGGTCACATGCAGTACAGAATAACCTTCAGCAAGAAAACAACCATACAGAAGGCGTTGCTTCTCCACTGACAGTAATGTACATAAAAATCTATAAATATCTGTTGATTTTCAAAATAAACCATCTGCCGCCTGCCCCTTGTCTTCTATCGTTACAACATAAGCGAAAAATGCTGTCTCCAGTTAAATCCGTGAATAATTCCCATTGAAGTAAAACAATTAGTTCAGTGAAGTGGATCTTTTAGGCGAATTCATTTTCATTAGCTGTACGATCACATTTTTATACAATGTTTTCAAGAAACAGGAGAGTAATGACTGAGATAAAGTGTAATAATGACAGTTACTAATATTAATTATTAGGTGGCGGAAATTCGAATAAAGATGATAGAGTTATGGAATAGTATATAATGAATTAGCTACAGTCGGCTGCACATAGAAACAAAGGCAACTGGACATTAAGCAAGAGTTTGGATTGTTAGCGCTTCAGCGGTTTAAAGGAGGTTAAATCATATTGTCTTTGGCAGGCTGCTGCTCACTTCGTAGTTCACTTAAACGGAAGAATTTGTTGAGATATAGTTGGCCAGTATCTGCAAGGTGTCCAATGTTTCCACTCTGTATGAAGCCGTTTGTATCTTTCTGCAAACATACAAGATAGTGCTCTTAAAACTTTTAAGATAAGATAGGCGTCGGACAACCGATGTACTTGGATCCACAGGAACTGGTAAATTTTTATATACATAAAGAAGTAGTTAGGTGAGAAATCTTGTCCTTTAGTCTTCTTCGGACCAATCAACAACTGAAGAATACTAATCTTAGTGTTGCTTCAAAGGATATTCTTCTCAGAAATGTTTAGATTCTTCTCTTGAGGATATCACAGGTTCAGTCATCCTTAGAATTAGGTTTTACGCAGACGTTTCTCAACAGGTACAGTTTATCATTTTGCCAAATATTCGGTTCGATATTTGGTAGATATTCCTTTTTGGATGAATATTTAATCAGTTAAATCTCTATTCGTCTTACTCTAGAACATACGTAACTTTACTAATATACATCATTTGCTAACCATTCATAGTGAACAGTTATTATGGTTATAAAACGGTTGACATAATAACGAACCATTAATAGTTTTTTCTGTAAATCTCTTTGGAGGTCTTCACTTATATCAGTCTTTGATATAATCAGGTGTAAGATATCAGTAAGATCGGTCTAAATTTTCGAGAAGCTCAAAATCCTTTCGATGTACCACATATATCTGATTAATGGGTTATCAGAAGGAAGATACGTTTGTTTAAGGTTTCTAACTAACTTTATTTTATAAACACACGTAAGTCATAAGAGTTACACTGTGGACGATATTTATGATGGACACTGTAGACATACAATTTGGATGCGTCGCAAACTCATCCAGTTGAGGTTTATTGGGTTAAGTTACTTGTTGATCTTCGTCTTCAAAGGAATTTCTTGATGATAACCTAATTAGAAAGAGGAGAACACGAAGTTCAACAAAGTTATCTTTTCGGCAGTTTCATTTTCAAAAGCTGTACAGTCGCATTGAAATACATAAATACAATCAGCATTTAATTCCACATAATTACAAAGGCGAATAAAAGGTGACAATTATTTTCAACTTGATATGGATTATAAGAGGCTTAGAAACAAAAATTACACAGGATTAGGATATAATTGTAAAATATTTATTTTAAAAGGATTACAAGTATAAGCAGAAAGAGCATGCAATCAAACATAAAATAACTGTTCTTATAACGAAAAAATGAAATGAACTGAATGAAGACAAAGAGAGAAAAATACACACACAACGAACAAAACAAAAGAAATCGAAGGCTAAAGGAACATACAGAACTGGGTCCATTGTGGTTGTAAAAAGTGAAATAGTTTCTTTTGAACACACGGCTTCTTCAGTATTGCAGAAGTCCTTCTCTTCTTTCTAATGTCCTATTTAGTATTTTCCATGATTATCAAATTAACACAAAAACAGCCTTATTATTGTTGTTTTTACCTCGGTTATTAAATGCTGTGGAGTGAACAATGTTTCTTTTTTGGATTTTTATATCAACTTTTTATTTATTTCCAGTGGTTACAGGTTTGATCAGGATTTGATATCAGTTAGAGGATCATCGAATAGCCAGGGAGCACTGGACTACTATTTCGTCCTAGTTCGAGTCTCTTCAGCAGTGCCCACCCATTGTGCTTCGAACTCAGGACCCTCTGGTTACAAGGCAAGCCCATGAAACATTCAGCCAACGCAACACGATCAAACGACCCAGGAATTCCAACTACTGGCAATTAGCGACATATACCCCAACCCCAAGTGGATGTCATACACGAATAACTGTTCCTAGTGATTTCTTTCTATATTCAATCAATAGTTATCATCATTTTAAGAGCCTGAATACTGAAAGACGCTTCCTTATCTCCACGTCTTTTATGAAACTTCATGATCCCAACAGTTATTCATTGATTGAGTTTCCAAGTTCTGTGAATAGCATTTTCCTCATCACTATCATTCAAACTTCAGTTACGAATGACTCTCTCTCTCTCTCTACATATATATATATATATATATATATATATATATAGCGTTAAATGTCAATAAATTTACTGTGAAAAATGGTCATAACCATATTTAAAGTTATATAGTTAGCTACTGACAGATTTCGAAAGGATAATGAATTATTCTGCCAAGCGTAGCAACTATTAACAACTAAATTTTCGAAGATGTATCCAATGCAAGAACACTGCAGATGTTCAGCTTGAGCAGTTCATTTTCAGGAATCCTTTTTAAAGTTATTTTTTAAAGTCTAAGTGACTAGAAGGAAGAAGCAGAAAAAAATAGTAAAATTAGGTGTTTCATACTTGACTAAGATTTTATATGCTCACTTAATTGAAAATGAAGTATAACAGAACGGGTTAAATAATAATATATATGCACAAAGTAATGACAATTTAATTTGAAAGCATTGTCGAAGCGTCCACTGTAGAAGCCAAGATGACAAAATAAGGCAAACATTTCCCTCCAATAAACTCAGTCAACGGGAAATTCAAGGCAATTTTAAAATATGATACCTGGTAGCCGCTAAACAAGAGATGGTTCTCATGGTGTAGTATCCTACTTCATACCTCTTTGATATGTGACGTGGTAGGAGTTGGCTTCGAGCCTGAGCGAAAACATCATAATTCAGTGGGATTCAGGTGAAAAGAATAAAAAACACTTGCTTGGATTCTACTGTTCTCCACCAGCAATCAGACAAGATTGCATCAGTATTAAGGCATGATAGACAAATTCATTCCACCTGTCAGTAAAGACTGAGTATTTAGGTCCAACAAAGCCAGTCAAAATAGAATTTGAAATAATTTCAATAAATGAGTTTCAAAGATATTTTTAAGAACTTTTTGGTTTAGTTGGACCTAGCACCGCAAGGAAAAATTATGCAGGGGTGGACGTTGTAGAAGATAACAGTTTTACCATTTATAAATATCAAGTATTGTTTTTGTAAGGATTTAGTTTGATTGGATATAGGATTTCATCATGAGGTGACATCAGTCAGAGAACCACTGGGAAACTTGGGAGTACTGGACAGCTGTCTCCTCAGCAGTACGCATACACCCCAACTGGGTTCGAACCCAGGACCTTCTGGTAACAAGGCGAGCTCATAGACCATTGAGCCACTGGGACCTGAACCATTGGCCCGTGAATTCCAACTAGCTCGCCTTGTAGCCAAAAGATCCTGGATTCGAATCCAGGTGGATGCGTACTGCTGAAGAGTCCAGAACTATGTGTACGAAACAGCTGTCCAGTACTCCAAGGTTTTCCAGTGGTTCTCTAACTGATGTTAGCTCATGATGAAATCCTCTATCCATTTATAATTACCTTATATAAACCTTGATTAACTTTAGTTAATAAGAAACAAAGCTGTGGAAATAATAAATTTTATTTTGTAGTTCACATGGGTGATTTTCGTGTTCTGAGGCGAATGGTTTAATTGTAAAGCTCTGATTACTTTTCTGAATATGTTTTTAAAGCGCGCTTACTTGATCCATCTTAGGAAACAGCACCAAAAATATATATGTTCTATACATATTTCTGTCATTCAAAATATATAATGAACTCGGTAACTTATGAAAGAATAAATCAGAGCTAACGGTCCACTGAGAAATGAAAATAAGTTTTCAAATGAAACCAGTGGATTTTAAAATATATAGAATAGATGTGATAAAATCGTTTATTATTCATTGGTATGAAGTAACATGATTTTCCTAGATATATATTATATATATTGGCATAATTTATTCCTGACCCTGTGGACTTACGTTAAAAGGATATAAAAGCTTTTTCTTCAGATAATCCTACAAGAGATAAATCTATCTCCATGATAGAAAAGCCGAATAAACTATATAATATTGTGCTCAGTTTTAAAAAACACTTATTGCCTTTTGCTTCTCCTAACTTGATAAATTCACTTAAACCAGCATATACAGTTAACAATAAATTACACAGTCCCTTACATTTTCTGCTAGAAAACAGTATACTACTTATTGATATAAACGGATAGATTCTGTTGAGTGCATCTTATGTGGAAAGGGATTTGCCCTCACCGTTAAGTTAATCTTAACCGACCACTTAGGCAAACGGCAGAGACATTTTTCATATTTCAGTGTACGTAAGTTATTAATGAAATAATAATATATATATTACCCTAGCTCATAGTTTTCTACCAAAGAAACTTTACACATAAAACTAAATACTAAGAAATAACTTGTTTTGACTCTATTTCAAAGCAGTCTACGCACATTAAACAGTTTCTTAGTGTTTCTGTTGAATTCAGCTCTAAATGGCATTTCCTAGGCATTTGTAGCACCTATGGTTTAGATCAAAGAACTCTGGTGGGCAATGGATCATCCAATCACTCATAACTGACGCCGCAAATATTCAGAAAGAAATAAAGATGGATTGAACACACTGCAGAAGAGGATGTTGAGTGATATCTCGTCCTAGGCCGTCAAGTGAAACTGTAGTGAGAGTTGTTGGGTCTGTTGTGCATCATGTCAGGTGGAATTGGAAGGTTATGTGAAACCATGAAGACAGGTGAAAAAGATGATAGAGATTTCAGTAGTTATGAAAGATGTGCTGTTGAAGCCCTATACCCCACTCGAAATCCAAGTAACGAATACTACAGTATTGGTTTGGATGCTTAAAGCCTTTATTTTGCTTTTAACAAAATTGGAAAATATTGATTCATCAGCATAACCACCTTCTTGGGAAGTCGGAGCTAGTCGC